AAGAGGGCTTCACTTCTCCCTACTCCCCTTGCGTGTCTAATACAAGAGACAAAACGTCTTCTCGTTCCAAGTAAAGGACATATGCGAACAATTTCACCGGCACTGTACTGTACCGGGCACCTGACCTATTCAGCCTGGACTATGAGGGTACAGTACTGAATGCAGTCTATATACAGCGGATGCATGTGCATACTTCACGAGTATTCTCTNTCCACCTTGAAATGGTTACATGTGCGGGGACCCCTCGAACTCCGAAGAGGGCTTCACTTCTCCCTACTCCCCTTGCGTGTCTAATACAAGAGACAAAACGTCTTCTCGTTCCAAGTAAAGGACATATGCGAACAATTTCACCGGCACTGTACTGTACCGGGCACCTGACCTATTCAGCCTGGACTATGAGGGTACAGTACTGAATGCAGTCTATATACAGCGGATGCATGTGCATACTTCACGAGTATTCTCTTCAACCATGCCCTCTAAGAACATCGATCCAGATATATATATACGTATGCATACATGTACGTATGCATACAAGTAACATACATGTATTTCGTGCACAAACGTTTACCGCTATTCGGCGGCATTCCGACTTCGTGAACCCAAGCTCACTTGGTTTGGTGAGCAAGCACGGGTCGAGAGAATCAGAGGAAACGTGAAACTCTAACAAGACCTTATTCTGCAATGGGCACAGAAGAGTGCTAAATGACGATGGGTTAATAACCTTTTCGTTAAATCAATATACTCACAGGATGTCGTCGTCGAGTGGCATTACAGTTCTTTGTTCAGGCGACACGTTGCGCCAGCATGTACGTGTTGCGACGGAATAGTGCCGAGCGTGTGGCCACATATCTGACGAGGTTTGGTGCTTCGACAACCACATGTACTGAAGCTTGTCGTGCTGTTGTCACACCCTGCCCTGGGTACACGTGTCGGTGGTGCACGTGTGGTTTTGGCGTTGTGGCGAACTCGTGCCGGCTGCTGCGCGCGGTAGATACGACGAAAATCTCAAAGAGAGAAAATATCTCACCTCGCAGAAACTGCAATAGATAGATTTGCCACAGCTTTGATCTCTTAATCGAATGCCGTGCAGCTCATGTACCGGCACCCCCCCCGTCACTCGTGATCACACGTACAAGGTCTGTCCGATGTGAATCACGTGTGCGCCATGACAACGCCGACATTTGTTCCATGCGCGTGGCGGTACATTTTTCTCGGCTTCTAGAGATGTTTCCCTGTCTTGTAATGGGAGTCTGGCTGCCCGCCCAATTGGGGGGCTGGGGCGCAATCGTTCCCCCTAGTGGTACATAGATCTAAACATAGTGAGGTGGGATGAGGAGAGCACCAAAAGGCGTTTGTCTGCTGTTCGTGCTTGCTTTTTCCCAGCTACATTTTTCCTGTTGATTTGTGGGGCATGTTTTTGTTCAGGCACGGAAGGGTGTATACACCAGTCCCTGATGTCCAAACTGTTGACAATTTTGGTTGCTGTTTTCCGCTGGGGAGCACTGTTGGCACACACGCAGCGCGTGGCAGACTACAATATCGAGCGATGCTTTGAAAATGTCGCGTAACGTACGTACCTCTCCGGAGCTACCATCTATTCCCAATATACCCGTTAGTAAAGCAAGGTCACAAGTACCATGGGACCGCTGATGGAAGAAGGATTAATCTCGCAGAAGATCATTCATCACTCCGGAATGTGGTCAGCTGAACATCCCGCACAAATGCGATGTTCCAGTTGGAGGCGACGTAAAACATGCCTGCGGCGTGATTGCCCCCGGCTCATGCCCGCCACCAAGGTGTACGCATCAACGACATTCACTGCTCCGCCGCCCACGGTCGGCCAAGAGGTTTTACTGCGGAAGTCGGCCGAGCAACAAGGGTGAAGCTCAAGGAGACCGTCCGTCTTCGACCTTGCGTCGGGTGCTCAGCGGCCAAAGTATTTCGTGCTCCTGTGAAGAAGACCACCGACTTCCGATCCGATCAGCCAAGACCTTGGAGACCTTTTTCGTGATTTAGCGGGAAGCAGCCCGAAAAGTTTATCAGTGCTATACATGCTCTTGTTGTACGGGACGACATGACGAGGATATCGTGGGAGTCCGCAGTGACTAGCCGATATCCAGCCACGCGGAACTTCAGAGATCGTTCGGCTCGATGATGGGGCGAGTTCGAAGGAGGAAGATTTGGAGAGCTGCACAGGAAACATCGCATCAAACAAGAGTACACTTCTCACTTCTGCAGACAGACCGGAGTCGACCGGAGTGGCGAGACATGGTTTGCCAGTCATCTGCAAGGGGGCGGAGGCCTCCAATTATCAGGCGAAGGTTGCATTCGTGGGCATAGATCTTCCAGCCAGCGGGTCGTTGCGAGCGGACAGGCCCAAACATGCCTGGGATGTACTCAACCGCACGGCAACCACAACGAGTCCAGGTCACAAATCCGCGTACGAAACGTGTTATTGAAAATCCCCTCCTTCGACATTGGTGCAATGGCTTAAGCCTTGCTTCCACAGGACGAAGTGCAAACACAAGAGTGGCGCTCAAGTCCATTCGGCGTTTTACCTAGCTCCTGCATCGGATCACCCGCGCGCTTGTTCACGATTTTTTGTCGTCCGCCATTCGCCGGATCGTGATCACTCCAAACGTCACATGGCAAGATTTTCCACCGGCAACTCTCTCGTCGCGGCCCACCGGTGATGCCACTTACGGGAGCGGGGAAGGGCATTGCTGGTTCAGTCGATGGCGGGGGCGGTGCGTCCGTTCCCCAACACGGCATCAAGGTGGTCGTGGAAAGCCCCGCTAGGAGCTGTCAATGGCGGAGTTGCCACATGCATGGAGCCGGAAACGGCGAAGTAGTTCGAGGGCGGTGAGACGGATGCTCAATCCCCCCTTTCAGACAGCAGTGGTAGCGGCAGGGGCAGCGGCAGAAGCAACGGCAGAAGCAGCGCGAGAAGCTCAGGCGGCCGTGCCTCTAGTCTGCCCAAAATTGAAGCGCGTCGACTGAAAAGGACGAAGGAAGCATCTCTCTTCCCGGCTTGGACGACACGAGAGAACCGGGCTGTTGACGCGGGACCTGCGTCGGGTATATCACTGGCCGCGGGCGTCGAGAAGGCCCCCTTAACTTCGATGGTGGATCGGTGGGGTCAGGAGATCGACTGCGAGACGTTAGTTGGAAGATGTTATGGTAAGAACGAGCTACGGAGGTGCGGACTATTCCACAATCTTGGTCGCATGAGGGAAGGACACCAGCTGACGACGACAGAAACAACATATTTTCCTTCTGGCAAGACACCGACGTCGATTCGGACGCCCTGGGACCACAGGCGCGCAATATAAGACGGAAATTGGAATACCTAGCGGTGATGCAAGCGAAGCGGAGTCTCCTATTTCTCTAGCTGGTGTCAAACGGTCGAGGTTGAACATGGCGTGGATGGATACCATGAACTAAAAGATGGAACAACATTTGAAGAGTTTCGAAGTGGAAGACGAATTGCCTGCAGGGAAGAAGGCAGTTGGGTAAAGGTGGGTACTGCCTGCCAAGACTGGCCCGGGGGGCAAATAGTCAGATGGATGTTGTGAAGACGAAGGCTAGGCTTGCTTTTTGTGTCTTGTCGCTCATGGATTCATGCAAATCTATGGACATTATGTCTTCAACACACATGCTGCCACACACGCAGCGGCATCTATCAATATCGTGATGGCTGTGGCGAACGCATGTTACTTGAGGGTATACCATTTCGATGTCAAAACGAACGTTCGTGCAGGCTGACCTTGACTGTGACGTGTACGCGAAGCTTCTCGGTGGTAGTGGAGGTTGTTTGGCCAGTGTGTTAAACTCGAGAAGGCGTTGTATGGCCTCAGGCATAGTCAATCCTATGAAACGATCTGTTAGTCAGAAGGTGGTCAAGATTGCATGGAGCAATACGAGACCGATCCGTGCGTGTCCCGGCTGATTCCAAAACGCAAAGGCAGTTTGATTGTGGCAGTGCATGTAAATGAGGTTGCGGTAGCTGGTCTGGTGGAGGAAAACGACAAGTTGCACATACTTCTAAACGAAGACTTCACCAACAACCTTGGTGAACTCTCCTGGTACAGGGGGTGCGCGCATTCTTGCGCGATTTTTGGGAGGATACTCTTGGGATCTCTCCGAATTCTTTCATCTAGACCCTGGCAACGCGTTTCGATGTGGATTCTACTTCGCCTTACCCAGCTTGCCCCGGCAGCGAGCCCGGTATCACTTGATCCTACAGGGAGACTGTGGGATGTCTTTTCATGGCTTGTTGTGATGTCAAGGCCGGGCATGGCCAGTGCTGTGCATGCTGTGGCGCGTCACTGTCGTGACTCCACAGAGAGGCATTGGAAGGCGATGCTAATGATAACCAACTACGAATAAGGGACATTGGTCTTACGTTTGTCAAGGGGTGTGGACTGGGTGCGGCGTACGGCAAGCGACCGTAGATCGGTTTCGGGGAAGGCGTTTGCTTTCTGAGACTCGGTTGTGAGCGGGCTTAGTAGCGCTTGAACAGCGTTTCTCTTGTCACGGCTGAGGCACAGTACCTGGCACGTGGAGAACTGCAAACAAACTGCCTCTCTTGATTTTTATCGCAGCGTAGCCCCACACGTTCCAGGAACATGGTCGAATCAACCACACATCAACACCTCTCTCATTTTTAGTGTGAGACCACTCTGCCAGTTCGCGATTTGTTTTCTTCACATTCCTCACAGGCGTACCAAGAAATCGGCATGTGATTCATTTTTAGCGGGGCTCTGAACGGATAGCAGCATGCAGCAGTGTCGGGTTGTTTCCGTAATCAAGTCACCTCCCCCCAACCCCGGCACCGCCCCTTTTCTTCTCCCGTGTTTCCAGGCTCCGAACACCGTGGTCGATGAATTGTGCCCCGCAAACAAGGCCAATCGAGCCAAATACAACGTCCCTCCAGGACAGGTGCGGCATGGAAGGCGAAGACATCAAGATAGTTCACGTTGCCTCTCGCAGCGGTAGACGGGATTGGGTGGACCAAATTGTCATGAAATCAAGTATTATGGTAGACCAACCGAGTCGCTCCGTCGTTGTTAGGGTATGAGGAAGAAGGTTCACGGAACTGCGGGACCCCTGAACGAAGGAACGGGGGAAGCCGCAACTCGAAAACTCTGTCGAAGCTACTGTAGGTGTACACAAAGAGGGTGTTCCTTGGACTTGAGAGAGCAACGCAGAAGCAAGGGGCGAGGCGGACACATAGAAGGCCTGGAGCTTTTTGCCAGCAAAAAGAGCTGCAAATAAAATTAGTCTTTGCCCATCGATCCACCCTTTTCTTTCGATGGTGGGGGGGAAGCGAGGACCGATTTCCGTTGCCGGCGGTACGGTGCAACACAAAGCAAAGAAAATGGTAGGGTACCGTTGGGGGACTTCGTCTACTGGGACAACTGCGTGCAGTAGGTAATGGTCTACACGGAAGTAAAGAGAACCAGTGATTTCGGAGCATTTCTAAGGGCAAAAAGACAGAGGGCCGGTAGAAAAGGCGCAGAAAGACGTCGGCGGGGACAAATGCGCTCTGCCAAGTTGTCCTGTCTCTCTTTCCTCGGGCGTAGAAAAGTAGTCATGGTCAATTTGCACGCCCGCTCGGGTCGTGGAAAAATCGAGCCGTGAATGTAGGGTAAGGGGGTCCGATCATTATCACAAGTATGTATGTCATGCGGTACTGTACCGCAGCTAAACCGACGGGAAATGCGCGGCTTCATTCTGGTCGAGATGTGCTCAAGCGGCGCTCTCACAACACTGATATTTGTCCCCCTTCCCTCCCCCTGATCGGCGACGCTTGTTGCCGATGGCGTCGCGTAATATTGCCGTAGCTGACAGAGAATGGCATGAACCAGGCTCTGAAACTGGGCAACTTCCTCCGTGAGACGTACATCGGGAGCATGGATTTCTTGCCGCCAACCTTAGGCAGCGGCAGCATGCCGACCTTCAGCTCATGGCTCAAATCTGACTCAGGTGCGCCGTGGGTTACCCTACGGTTTCAACATGGTGCCGTGGGTTTGAATGAGACTGTCGTGGTGTCTTTTTTTTTTTTTATGTGTGTTCTTGGTAGTTTCAGTACCCTAACCCCGTTCTGTTTTGGCGAGACCTGCGCAAATACTTTTCGTTTTGGTTCGGGCGGCGTGGCACTGCAGTGACACCCGTTTACCATCTTGTTTTTTTTCTGCGTCGGAACGGGCGTCGAATATAGATTTCACATGAACTAAGGGTGCACGCGAGGCTTTTTGGTTCGTTTGTAAACGCGGACTATGTCTGTATTCTGCTGCCAACGGGCTTGCTAGCATAGCAGGGAGGAGGAGGAGGAGGAGGAGGAGGAGGAGGAGGGTATCCTACCCAGGGCATGATCTCTGGTGGTGCATGCTTGGTACCACTTGTTTTCGTGCAACGCCGATATCTGACGTTACTGTTCGTTCCCCTCGTATGCAAGCAGCAGCCCGCTGTCTGCAAACAGCCCAGGCGATGGCGATGGGACTGTTTCCCTACGGTACAGGGCCACCGGGGTTTCCCAACCAGCCGATGCCGGTGCTGACGGAGCCGGTGGGGACTCAGAAGAGTATCGTAGTGGCATTACCACAGAGAGAGATTTAGTCGCGGTGTGTGCCCTTCTCGGCAATGGAGCCGTGCGATGTCATTTTTGTTTGCCATGAACGGCCCGGATCGGGAATACCACAACGGTGCTATCTGAAACGCAGGTCGTTTTACAATAGTGCGCGCAAAAAAGAGCAGGTGGCGTGAAACTTATTCCAGCACACCACGAGTTGTTTGCAGAGCGGTCATGATTTGAAACGTATGTTTGCTTGCTTCTAGTCATGCAGACAGACACGCCTCTTCTACCGGCTTCCTCTTTTTCGTGCTGGGCTCGTGGCCTGTGTTGTCACTAGGAGATCCCTCCTACCGAACTAAGCTGCATTTGCTGCATCAATCTGCATGAGTTTGTCTTGGTCAACGCGGCCGTGTGATCTACATGTAGTTGGCGGACGTTTCACTGGGTCTTACGTCTCGAACACGACAGGATCGATTCGCGAGCCTGCTTGCGGCCCCACACGGACCCTGCTTGGCACAGCAGAAGGCTGACAACGCAGCGTACGACTCAACCAGAGGAGTGGAGCTCATCCAGCAGTCGAGAAATATCACCGACGTCGTCTCAAAGGTGAATGGTTTGATTTCAGTCACCACAACGTCCTAACACCCCTCCCTTACAACAAAGTCTTTCATGTGGGAATCGACTCTTATTTGTTCCGTTGTTGGTTGCATCGGCCAACCAGAAATGCGTGCATATGTACATATTGACCTTCATCGGAGGCGACCCATTCCACGATCAACTCCCTAGGCAACACCCTAAACAGCAATAAGATTCGAGAGGGTTGCTTTTCGAGAAAAGGCCCTGCATTGTTATCATATGAACAGTGGCGCGCTGGACGGCCTCGAGGCTCCTTCCTGAAACTGGGGGGTTGCAAGTATGACAGTTGTGCGCCTCTGATGCTTACCAGAATAGCCAAGGTTTCAGCAATTCTGACGCGACACCACCGAGCCGTTTCAGCCCAAGGTTTCCTTGCGAAACGCTGCAACAGAATGTCTGCTGTTGCACACTCCCATCTCATCTCATCTCATCTCATCTCGACGCTCGAACATAACACAACAATAGGCTTGTGGAGTTCCTACGGAGGCCTACACGAACGTGGACAACGGGAAGGAGGGGCTGGTGCTCGGGGTGAAGGACGTCGGCGACATGCTAGACTTCGACGAGCAGCAGGTTTGGCGTCGAGGCTGACTTGGTACTGCTACTGCTGTTGCTGCACTAGGTTAAGAGACATCGAGGACATGGAATAATAGTTTGTCTCGACAAGCAGCAGGTTTCTCATGCGTTTCGAGCAAGTCCTTTCGAGCAAGTCGTTCATTGCTCAATTTTCGTCTGAAGTTCCAGATCTGTTGCTATTGCTGCAGCTCTGTGCTTCTCGTCTCTCTGTGTGTTAATCGCGTCTTTGTTTTTGTGGTACCAAAGGGTCTGCCAAGGCTGGCGTCTGTGAGCAAACAAGCCCACGAGGACATGACCCAGCTCGCCTTCACCCTCCTGCAAGAGAGATACTACTCCAACCGACGACAGGCAAGTCCTAGATTGCTTGGTATCGAGTGCCCGAAGAGGGGTCGGTCGTCTTTGCGTTGGTCGGTATGCGCTGCACACACAGGGATAGGGTTGGACGATCAGGGCATCTACAGCGTCGTATTGTTTCTCGAGGTACGGTGTCCCTGCTGTGGCGTGGCGTGTCGACCTCGTAGGAAGAGCGTCTCCGCATTAAAGAGTCCGAGGGCAAGCTAGCTGTTGCGCGGTGTGCGGGACGGCGATGGGTGATGGCTTGCGGTGAACATCCCGGTGTGATGTACCCAGTCTCTATGATTACATGCGGCCTTGGATCTAAGCCACATAAGCATATGTTGGATCGTAGCTACAATAATCTTTATCGTAAACGACGTCTTCGCCATGAAAACTCGGCCGTTCCAACGCTTGCAGATCACCTACTGGGCGGGAGACTTTCCTCCCACGCTGCTGGATGACTTTAACTCGGCCGCGACAAAACACGACAAAGGCCAACGGCCCGATCATCTTTATCTAGGATACCACGGACACCGGTGTGTATTTGGCGGGGGGGGGGCTTGTATTTGTCTGTCTTATCGGCGTCGACCGAGCCAACTGGCTGACAAAGGAGACTACGAATGGGTGATAGCACCTGCTCACTGCCTGCGTGCAACCAAATAGTCCCATATGAGCGGGACAGAAACATACAACCACGCATTTCTAGTGGTCGGGCTTCCTCGACCGGCCGAGGTCCGTGGAGTAGACTGAACGACATGGTCCCGTCCCTGCACCAAGCGTGCTGCTTGAAATTAGATCGTCCGCGCTAACGATGAATACGCGTCGATTGTTGCGGGACACTATTCGATACGGAGTGTCTCTCTAGGCAGGCAACTGCACGTGTGAGCCATGGGTGTGACTGCGTCCCAGCTGAAACATTTACCATGAATCTTGCCCTTGGTTCACCAGACAGGCGAGTTAGCACCGCTGAAGGGGTTTAGACATTAAATTTAGACCAGACGAACCCCGTCGCATTCCATCATGGCGCGCGCGTTCATCACGAAACTTGTATCGGCGCACACGTGAATTTAGACGTTTCCCGTGTTGGTTGATATCAGACGTTTTCGTTTCTCTTTCTCTCTTGTCACTATCGTGGCTACACTGGATGTCGTTCAATGGTGCCGGTATGCATCCGCCAGAACCGGCATTCTTGAGTATGAGAAGTGCTTCATCAAGTGTTGCATCCGTGACACGTGATTTCACCGCGGCAATACCGGGCAGTGGCACCATTCAACCAGCAATATTTGGAGTTACCCAAACTACTGTCCCCGCGCGGTCGCTGAGATCTCGATTTACTTTACATGTTCCCGTGTTCGCTCGTGTATAGAGAGCTGCTGTACGGCGTGGCGCACTTCTTGGGCTGGCACTTTGACGTAGAGGGGGCGCCGACGGCTCTAGGCACGTCATCGATACCCCCAGCAACTACAATGGTCTTCGAGCTCCACTACCGTGCACACGAGGTGAAGGGGAGCCAAGGGCAACGAGGCCATGTTCCTGTACTATCTCGAAATGGAACGTTGTAGATGGTTTGACGGAGCTTTTTTTAACTGGGTAGATGTAACGAGGCCCTTTTGATCCAGCGATGGACGCTATGCGCGAGTGTGTGTTGAGTGTTGAGATCAATCTGTTGAACGGGAACGCTGTGTTTCGTTTTTTCACCGGGCGGAATAAAATAGTGAATGTCAAGACAAAAAAATCAACCGAGAGGCTTGATCGAAGACCAACCTGGCGATCGCGACGAGAGTTGCACGTCAACAAGAGTGGATGCCGTGTGCACATGGACTACTGAAAGTCGTTTGGATCTGAACCTTTCAATCTCGCCGTTGCCATGCGAGTATCGCAGCAAACGGACAACGGCCCCACGGGAGCAGAGCAAGTGCAAGACGAGGCCTCTGCACAGGAGGAAGCAGGGTACTACTACGTCAGAACGTATACCTGGACACCGGAGTTTGGACAGCAGGAGGTTGTACTGGATGCGTGCAGCGGTGTCGAGGCTGGTGAGGGTTTTGGTTCTTGTCCGAGGCGTTGTTGGCTCCGAAAGTAAGAAGATTTCCGCAAGGTCTCCACATGCTTCGTCCCTTTGCATTACTTAATTCTTGCCGGATGCCTTGCGATCGACGCAGCTTTGTTGATGCCCGACGAGGTGACGCTAACGCTGATTGTGTGTTCGGCGTGACGACGGTTTCGGCTGGTTTGTGTCCTGCCGTCGCAATGGTGTGAGTACTCCAGTATTGTCGTATTGCCGTTTTTCTTCGCATGTTTTTCGAGTTGTTGCTCCTTTGCACGACGAAGTGGAACGTCAATACTTTTACCTGATTAGTACCATCGCATGCAAAACAGAGTGCGTTCTTGGTTTTGTTGCGTTGGAAGCGGGGCGCGTCTGGCTTCGCAAAAGTGCTTGTCTACCAAGCGCTTGGAATGAGTTATTGTTTTGAGCGTGACGATTGTTCCGATCGTTCCGGTGGCGAGGTTCCTTAACGGTTGAGACAAGAAGACGTTGCTGATCCCTTGGAAATGGGTAGTGATGTGGATCAATGCTCGGCAGAAAATCTCCTGGACGATGTGAAGATTCACACTTTTGTGGCCCAAACACCAAATCATGTTGATTTTTTTTTCTCCCCAGGGACAGGGTGCCGTTTGACGACCATTGAAGCAATCGTGTCGGACAGCGTGCAAGGCACGGGCTCGTGGCAAGACATCTGCAACGATGTGCCCTTCGATCAATCGGTGAGCCGCCTCGTCTCCAGTTGGAGGCGACGCGGACTTGTCCTGCCCCCGGTGGTTGACGATTCGTCAGACGGCATGACGTCACCTTTCATGACTTGTCAGTGGTTGTGACGGTCGTCGCCCCTGTGATGAGACTCCCCCCCCCCCCCCCCCCGTGATTTGCGGTACAAATTGTTGTTGCTGCTGTTGTTGGCTTGGTATTAGAACCGTCCCGGTCTGTGCTAGTTGAAAATATGACGCGATTCCTTTGCTGGAATCGGGGCTCCTAATGCCAAACCAAACTCTGATGAACCACCGACGTTGTCCGTTCCTAGCGTGATATTATTTGACGGTTGTACACCGCTTGTCTACTAATTTACCATGGTGTGCACGATGCACGATGAATGCTGTCCACCACGACTTGCGCTATGCCCGTGACTTGACGATGTCGCAGCAGTACCCTCTAGCCGCGAAGCGGCAGCAGTTCGCGTTTTCCTCACGCGCGGTGCACTGATGATACTCTGTGTTGCCCGACAGACCCTCCGACTCCGCCGTCTGTCACTGTGCCAGTGAACCTACTCGACTCGGGGAATTTCACAAACGTGAATGTATCTTTTTCGTGGAAAAGTGCTTGTTGTTTTGATGTCTCTGTTCCGACGCCCCGCGTCCCACGTCCACCTAAAACGAATGCCACCGAAGAGTATTCCAAGGCGTCAAGCTGTCCCGCCCTGGGATACTTTTTTTTTGTCCCATCGTGTGGGCAAGGGCTCCGCGTTCTGCTAGCCAGTGGCAAGCCATGAGGATGCCACCAAAACAACCGTAAGTCATGCTGGGCTCCACCCCTGCCTAGGAAGCTTTCTGCCTGCCCCCCTGTGTGCTTGTCTGCTGCAGGCACAACTGGTGCAACAGGTTACGTTCAGCGATGACTTCGCCGATGACGCGGCAGCAACAGACGCCCCAGAGGACAGCGGCGGCAATACTGTGAGACCAAGGGTTGCCTTGCTCTTGCGTATTCGTGTCAATCAGTCAATCCCTGCGCTTCCTATAGTCCGGTTCTTTGCCGACAACGACGGTGAACTCCCAGCCTGTGAGATGTTGTGTAGCATGCCCACCCAACCAACTGCGCCCTCGTGTGTGTTTGTCTCCGTTGTGTCGTTGGTTCGACGGCTGGCTGCTGACGGCGATCTTGGGTCAATATCGGGGAACCAACCAACACGTCGTCGGCGTATGTCGGGCTGGGTCGATGATGGAACAGGTCAGGAACATGGTGAGCACGACGTTCTTGGTGGTTGCTCTTGTGCTGGTGGGAGGTGTTTTCTGGTTCGGCGTCGTTGCTTTGAAGGTCAAGCGGCGTAGGGCCGGAGAGAGAGGGGCAGGTGCTTATGAGGCCGTAGGATGAAAACTCGAGGCTTCTCGAGGGAGAGACACTCGATAGCTGCTCCAGGCTCCCAGCACAGATGGGAACGAAAGGCACACACCCTGCTCAAGTCTGTACTGCCTTAGCCAACTGTTCGAATAAATATCGGGGCGGGGGACATCGGAAGAGTGCCGAAGACCTGGCCATGAGAAACCTACGGGTAGGACGGTCGCGACTGCCAACAACTTGGGCGTCATCATCGGGGTTTATGGTGAATGAATGTAGCATGTCGTGACCTAGAGACCTAGCACAGATGCCTGGAAAACAGTGCTAACCATTGCTGTTGAAGGTGGTGCGACGTGTTCGGTTGATTCTGAAGCAGGATGTTTGTCGTCGTATGTTTTTCCTGTCACTCTGTCTGGGAAGGATGTGAAAGGGAAAAAGCATGTAATTGTAGGTCCAGGCGCCCTTCTCACGACCCCTGGGGTCATGCTGTTTCTTCCCAATGGATCATATATGCTCCCTAGGCATCACAGCTTGCCTAGGGCAACCGCGCTGGTCCTCGAAGAGTGTTTAGTTTGTCTTTTTGGTAGTTTCTCGTTTCCACCGGGCGTTTCAAACGCGGAATTTCAGTTGAACTCGGTTCCTACTCTTTACTGTGACTCGATGCGTTGTCGATGAGTCAGGGACATCTTGGTGTTGAGTACCTGGTGTTGTTGTTGCTGTTGTCGTTGTTGTTGCTGCTGGTGCTGTTGCTGTGCTGTTTTTGTTGTGCAAAGTAGCTTTCGCTGTCCGTACTGATCATCTACCATTGGTGCGCTGTACAGCATTATTCGGCCGTCGCGATTATTTTAGCGTGGCATCACACCAGTAGGGAACTTTCTGCGTTGTGCAAGTATGCGTCGATGGCTCTTTTCGGAACACATCATCATTTGTCCACATACGATCCGTGCACCTCCAGATAGATGTGGGAGACATCGAACGCTGTAGGATGCAACTATGTAGAATAGTAGCGCGTGCTTTTGCACGCAGCACAGAGTGTGATTGCATGCGAATCTTGATCTCGTGTAGTCTTTACTCTCTACAGCAGAAAGAGTATTAGCCGATGGTTGTCCGTCTTTGCTCACCGTTTTCTTCTTGACGAAATCGTCGTCGTAAGGATAAAACAAGAATTATGACGCATACGTTTTTGCACACCAGATACAGGGATTGATTTGTTGATTGTGTGCGAATGTCAATCTTCATCTCGTCTGTGCTCGCTATACCACCTTCAAAAATATACCGACGATCTCTTAGAGTACCAACGCGGTGGTCATCGCTCCCCGCACATAGAACACAAATCGTTCCCAGCAAGTCACTCCGCAAGATCGGAAACATACAAATTGGTCGAATTCGGAGCAATTTGGTGCCGGGAGCACCTTCTGCTTGCTCGTGTGTCGTGCTTGAGAAGACTGGATATCGTCACAGTCAAACGTTGACGCAGGAGGCACCAAGCATGCTGAGACTTGATGAGGGCGTCTAAAGTAGTGCAGGACGGCCGATGGTCTGATTCCTCGCGCCTCGGGCGTACGGCTCGACGATGTGCGTGATTCGAAGCTTCGGAGTGAACGGCGTCAGACAGACAAGAGACTTTTTCTTTGGCCTTTCTGTGAGACCTCTAGACCGTAACGGTCTCGTAGAGGAAGTTCACACTTTCGGCTTGTGTGCGGCCAAAAAGACACAGAGCGCCCTGTTTGGGGGTCGCCTTCAAAGGGCATGTGTATGACCTCACACGAGCATGTGTATGACCTCACACCAGTGACGGCTTGTTGTGGACGAACACCGTCCTCCGAAAGTCTCTCTCTGGCATGCTTTCTTGCCTGGTCCCACTTTGAGCAACGAGACAAAAAAAAGCACGCGTCCAAAACGCCAACATCGATGCGCACTTCGGTTCACCTTTGCGGGCCGTGCGCTACATTATCAAAACTGGACAACTTGCCCTGCTTCTGGGACGGTTGCGAGGGTAGAGTATGTCTATGGACGATGAACTCACGCCATTGGAACTTGTGGATGTCGTCGGCCTCTAGCCTCGCTCTGGCATGCGTTTTTGACTCGTCACACGTGCAGCAGGTGCAATAACGGCCATCAACCACCGCATCTGGAGCCTCGATAAACGTAGCGACAGTGACTTTATATTAAGCAAGCACCATGTGAACGTGCAGTGAAGCCGTGCTTCAGCAATCGCCACCGGTTCAGCGAGCTCATTAACCTCATTCTCAGCGGACTTTGCACTCAAAGTATCTCAGGTGCAAGACCCAGTGCGGTCACCTTTGCATCAGAAAGAATGCAACCACGAAGAGACAGACAACATAGTGGGACTTCGATATTTTCCCAACCTACCATATATGCTCTCGAGCGCAAGGCACGAACGAACACACGATTTCGACTACAAGATAAGACTTACACGGATAGAGTACGTGGCTAAAAGAAAAAGAGATGCACACCTCGACACCAGCGTGCGAAAAAACTGGTGTGCGCAAGCCGCGAGCTCCCTGAACCTTCCCATGGCCATTTTCCAAGCCCTCCGACATGCCCAAACAGCTACTCCATTTGCTGCTGAATTGGCCCATTTGCCGCTGAATTTGGCCAGTCTACAGCTTTTGAATTCGACCAATTTCCTTCCTCGTTTCTCCACGAGATCCCACCTCAACAAGGAGCACCCGTTTTCCGGTAAAGGACAGCATTTAATGTAGGCGATACTCCAGTCACCCCCGGCATCAAACTGAGCCTTTTATACTGAACACAGGCCATTATCCTGCAGAACAACGTCCAGGGCAAATTGCTCTCCGCGCTTACCGCTCGGAGCGAGGGTACGACCAAACGAGATCGTGGTTGATACGGGTACTGAAAGCAAGAGGCGGCTCTCGCCCATCATGAGAAATGCAAATCGTTGGCCGGTATCGATGTAACGCTGGCCCTGCAACACGTTGTTGTTGACCTGGTTATGGTGTGCCTCGACTCTACAGACTGGTGTTGCTACATACATGAGGAACACACCGAAAGAGCGACGTTTGAACCGACCCGCGTATCCGGTTGCTGCTTCCAAGCGACAACCCGCTGCCGTCGGCACCAACGCCTGTTTCGGTTGCGCCCGCCTTTGCCACCCTGAAAAAAATAGCCCGACCATCCCCATCTTCTCAAAAATGGCAACTCTCATCCAATCGATTCTGGACGTCTGTCTGAACACCTTTTGGTACACACTTTCTGCACGCACCAGCCGGGGAAAAGGTTGGCCACCCAGGAGGAAGCACCACCAATACGTTTTTTTCTCTCCGCCATCCGTCAAACAGAAGGATATAATACCGCACAACACTAACACAGACAGCGAGGTTGGCCAACAGGGCCTTCCACATTTCTACTGCAAGCCACACACCCTGTCCGCCCCTCCAGATTTCCGAAGAACGTTCCTTCTCCCGACCTCCGAACACTTGTATGGGTACGGTGGCATTGATATACGTCTCGACCAAGGAAGGTGGGGTTAGCAGCCGAACTCAGCCGCGATCTCTGAGATCTTCACAGGGCGGCCCTCCTTTGCACTTCGTGCTGCGGCCATTCCTACACGATTCAAAACGATTCCAATGAAAGACGGGTGGAGGGGGCAGGGAGGGAATGAAAGGCATGCCAAGAAAAAGAAGCTAATGCTGCGCAAATCATAATGGTGCATGGACAGGACATGGGGGTGTGTACGCATATGTATGGGTGGGCTACTTCCTTCAAAATGATGCGGAAGAGGTATGATGCTTGTTGCTCAACACCTTCGGAACAGGCGAGAGGCATAGAAACCCCTGGTGAAGCCACGCTCGTGTCGTGTTGTTCTACTTATTATCAACCTTGTTATCCCCTGACTAGCCTGACCAGTGAGATCATTTCCGAATTTGGAGTTACACATGGTGCAGGGACCAGAGCGGGGTTCCACGTGGAGAACACAGCGCAAGCAGCGCAACAACAGCTACAACAACACCCATCACTGGCAACAACAACAGCAAGAGCAACAGATACACCGACAACGTACCGATGAAGATGGTGACCTTGCCGTCGATGCCGAGGGCCGGCTCGAGGGACTCGTCTCCGGTCTTGACGTACTTCACGAAGGCGGACATGATGTTAATGTACGAATCAGCATACCTGTCCAGGAAGAAGCTGTATGGCACACCTGGAGGAAGCATTTCGAACGAGGGCCAAATCAGTACCAAAAAACGACGAAGTGCCCGGTTCGCACATCATCCCAGCGAAACCGTCACTGTAGATGCAGCCATGGTCAGCATTTGCTATAGAATACATATACTGTATGTGTCATGGACCGAGAACTGTAGTCCACAGCGAGTGGTGCCGTACCGCGACATCTTTCGTTCCTGCTGCAGGACAAGAGTTTGATATGGCAAACATCAACGGCAACGACAGAAACAGAGATACGACCAATGCTATCGGGACAAGCTCAAAAGTTCAAAAGCCGTGTCAACACTAGGCCTCTCTACACCTTCCCACGCCGGTACTACAGCACGCAACCCTTCGCATGAAACGAACGACGCCTGGAGATAGATATTATACCACATGGACTAGCCCAAGATATTCGCGCCTAGAAGTACTAAAACGTACAAAATTCTTTTTTATCGACAGCTCCGCCGCAACTGAGTTGCACCCACCAGCGTTGAGGCCGTCCTCGCTGTTGACCAAAACATTCTGCGGGGAGCGGTTGGCGCCTGAGATAGACCCGCCGGCGCCAAAGACTTCGACACGCTGGTCGTACCCGAAGGAGCAGCGCCTCGAGTTCTCGATCACGCCGAAGGCCCCGTTCTGAGGAGTAGAAAATGAACAAACGCAGCTTTGGTCGAGGCGATGCCGGTAGTTGTGACACACGTGGTATTTCTATTTCGAGCAAGACCTCATGCGATCGTACCAAAAGCTTCCCCGAAACAATATGCAGGCAAAATCTAAAAAAAAAACATGTTTCAAACTTTTTGAAAGCTTTCGGAGTTGTTGCGCCGTACGCAACAGGGCAAATGTTACAGCGGCGGTAACGATCAAGATCAACACATGATAGATTTTTGGATGTCGCCCGTTTCCCAGTTCTGGTGCAACAAATCTGAAACACGCCTATCCGACAAGAACCAGGCAACGATTCCTGCGTGGCTACGATCGAAATCGTCGTAATCCGACTACGAAGGCAATCGGACAATCGGTTGCTGATAGACTCACTGTACTGTGGACAGACTTACACACCAAGGGCTGACTGGCAGTGATAAACTTGCGAAGAAGAACGGACTGGTCGTAGACACACTGGTGGAAATCGACACGAAAAGCGGACTGGCCGTAGAGAGACTTGATCGTGCGATTCGACGAAAGGGAGGGAGGTTAAGATTGGGTACGCCCTCACTTCACTTCACCTTGAACTTGAGGTGGGTGTTTGCGGTGTCGAAGTCGTCGGCCTCCTTAGCCTCCGGGTCAAAGGCGGTAGCGGTAACGAAGACCTCGTCGATCTCGTCACCAACCTGAAACACGACATCACAAGAAAAACAGGCATTGTGAACACACAGAAACGCCATGGGGGTAGCAAGGAAAAACACTGACCAAAATAAGTCCCGCGCGTTTGCTTCACGTACAGCAGTGCTCAACCACCCTTGATGCAACCTGAGGTACCGTATATAGATGAAGTGCAAAACGTCACAGCAGTCACAAGAGGCAACCAAATGGCCATGGCGGAGTAGGCACCCGAAACACAGGGGGTGAGGGTGGTAGTGCATCCAGCCTACTTCAAGTAATAAACAAAAGCATTTCGTGAGCTCCCTCGCAATTAGACAAAACGGGGTATCATACGTAGCCATCGAGCGAGCACGTATTCCTCTCCATGTACATGTGTGCGAGATACGTCGTCACCAGAGCAAAACACTATAGCGCGCGACGAGTTCCCCTTAACATGCGCCTTGAGATAAGTGGGCTCTACATAATCCGCCAAAGAGAGAAGAGAAAAAACAATGCATACATACACATTCTTGTTTTCGGCCTTCCGGCCCTCTGAGGGGGTATAGGGGTGGGGGTACCGAAGTGTGCAAGACCACTTTTTTGTGCACTCTTGGCGAAAATCAGAGAAACAAATCCTCCTGTACATGCACTGTATTGTACTGTTATGTCCACGTACTGTGTTGGAGAGAGCTTGGTGCGCCCGGCGCAGTTGTAGACGGCAAAAATGAAAGAACCGCGCGGCGAGTTTACCGGCAACTGCCCGCGGGTGTGGTAACTCGCCGCATCTGTGATGTTCCGGAGCGTAATGGCTCTGATGTGTTGACGCTGGTGTTATAGCTGTTGTGATGGCGTGATAGCCTGGTCGCGTGATAGCTGGTGGATATGAAGTATGGGCACGGGCGTGATAGCCCAGTGCGTGATAGCCGGGCAAAGGAAGATCAATTATCCAAGGGCACGTGGCCAACACCGTTGCAGACACGTATAGACTACCCAGAAAACAACAATATGTGGCAAATATGGTACCACCATTCCCCCAATCTATCATAACTGCGGAACCCCCATAATTCCCCGCTCCATCTTCTCAGAACGTTCCTCGGTCGCACTAATCTGTCAATGCTGTGAGTACATCCAACAGCCCCCCTGCTCGCTGCATTGTCAAGATTATTCCCGGACTTATGTATCACATAAAACCCATCTCAAAAGCTCCAGAAATCAATGTCAATGTGCAACAGTAGTCGCATCTCCTCCCATGCACTTGCAACAAAATAAACCATGAAACCAGAAACACTAGTTGTTCCTACCAGAACTTCCATCGGTCTCCATTGTATCCAGAACCTCCAAAGATCAAACATTCACTAAACCCAATATATCAGAAACACTGATTGGAATCCCCATCGGTTGCAAAATTAAGCCAGGAACGCCACCAAGAATTTCTATCGGTCGCTCATGAATTTTCCAAATTCCCATATCAAATCATCCAACACTCAATCAAATCATGGAAACAACCGCAATGTGTCATGTCAGAAACACATGAAAACAAACACAATCGCATACACATACAATACCGTCCGGGACAAATTACTTTCCGAGGATATCTCACATCCACAAGTAGCAGAAAACTAGAATGAATCATGATTGCACAAAACGCTCGACTCCATACCTCATCCTATTATTCCTCCAACACAAACCTACCCTCAGTTTCCAACAAAACAATTCATTTCGTCCTGCATACCCTACCCACACATATCTGGTTACGGCCCCCCTTCTCCGGACACCAGACGTCAAGGGATCAACCCTCATCGTGACAAACGTATCCTGTGATATTTGGGTGCTGAGACCAACACCAACAACCGCAACCTGCATTGTGAACGAACTCAAATCCCGAACTTTGCAAATCGACCGTCGAAAACAGGCGAAACATTCCATTCTTCGTGATGTTGCGGCAATTCATTGTCATGACACACCAATTCCCTCCCCAACGACGATTGACAATAGCATCGAAGACATTACATGTTATAGAAATAGAGGGGTTACCCCTGGCCGATGGTACATGGAAAGGCGCGCCAAACACACAGGGGACAACGTCGATAGAGCCTTCTGCCAAGAAAAATGCCACACGAAGAAAGGAAAAGAAACAAAAACAACAAGCACATATTAGAAGCCTTCACGACATGGCCGCAAGGATTCAAACCAATAACCCTGTTCCATCACCATGATCTTTCCTGAACAGTTTCAACGCAGCCTTCGTGTCGTCAAAATATTCTTCCAGGTGTAATTTCGATCGCAAAACCAAATCCGAAAGAACTCCGAAACAAGCCAAAACTAAAACCAAACAAATAAACAATTCCGGCACAACTCAAACAAAACAATAGTACAACTTCTTGGGCGACAGAAACGAGTATTCGAAAAGCACAGAGGCCCCAACAATCACTCCTGCCAACTCCTTTCTCCAGTATAGCCTGTGAGGACCTAACTGATAGTGCGTACACGCAAATCGGTGCCGCCGTTGCCGTCCAAGAAATGGATAGAAAATTCAACAAACATGTAGACAGCCCCATTCTGTCAAATCCCGAAACATACCCCTTATATTTCCAGCGTTCATGCAAGAACACTCCGCGAATATCAATACGCCAACATGCAAACAGCCCCTCTGCAAAGGAAGCTGTACATATGGAAAAACAAAAACAATCGATTACTTTTTATGCCCTCTAGAATCATGGTCACACATGCATTCTCCCCCCATGATTCTGGATGTACATGACAGCAACAAAGAGTAAAATACCAGTGCATTAGTAGAACGCGCTGCCAGATAGAAAGGCAAACAAAACTAAACTAAACACGAAATCCACATTGTTAGAACAGACTCGATGTCGTCGCGCAATACGAGGCGCGCCACGAGCCCAAACGGAATGCCGAGGGGCGACCCCTAGCAGGTTGCTCTTGGTCTCCCATATGCACCCACCCCTCCCAAACATGCTGTTCTCCATCGCCCTCCATCTCGCCATCCCCCAGCTCCCCGCCCCTCAACTCACCGGCCCCTGCCATCCTAGGCCAAATCATCGACTTGCCGTTCAATACACGCCGGGTTGCATGCCCCGAAGGAGGCGATGTCGACGACGACGCGCGGGCGGTGGCTGGAGCCATCTATGTACCTTCTGCGGCGGAATGCTGCTGCGACGACGAAGTGCCGGCGGCGGCACTCCTCGCCGCGGGCGTCCTCGGGCCCGGCAGCTTGGCGGCACCTGGCGAAGGCGCAAGGGGTCCATCGGCCTCGGAGGTCGGCGGCGACCACAACGGCGCGGCGGCGATAACGGCGGCGGGCAGCGGAGCGGCGGTTGTCCTCGTCGCGGTCATCCGCGGGTCCGGCAGCGCGGCGGCACCCGGCGAGGGTGCAGACGGCACGCCGGCCCTGGGGTTTGGCGGCAGCGGCGACGGTGCGGCGGCGGCGGCGGCGGCTGCAGTCCATGGTGCGCCACCAGCGGTGTGCGACGGCGACGATGAAGTGGCGTCGGCGGTGGCGGGTCGCCACGGTGCAGCGGCAGCAGCGGTCGGCGAAGCGGTGATAGTACCCTCCGCGGCGGCGGCGAAGGCAGGCCAAGGAGCAGCGGTGGCAGCGGGCGGCCAAGCGGCAGTGGTCCCGGTTTCCAACTCCCTGGGGAGGGTGTTCCCTTGTTGCTTGGCAGTCAAACTCAAAATGGGTTCGGGAAAGTGGCCAGCGCGGAGGTGGAAAACGTCAACATCCATTTGTTCTGCACGACCCAACACAGTCACATCACACTCAGACGCAATTCCTTTCCTCGCATCAAACATCCCCGCACTCGTCCCCGAGTCTCCCTGCAACTGCTCACCACCTTTGGGTGTTGATATCCTTGTGTGGCATACCGGAGCTTGAGAGGTTACAGCAGGATTCACTACAGGAACAACAGGAACATCAAGCACAGACATACCAGCAACGGGAACACCAAACACTTCCCCATCACTAACAACTCCAATCTCATTTCCAGACACAGAATCGTACTCGCCTAGAAAATTCACATTACGTGTGAGGAAGAGACGAAGAGGGGCGCCACTTGCTGGAGGAATGTCGCCCGGAGGTGGAGAGGGGGTCGCCGTCGAGGAGGCAGAGGTCGTCGAAGTAGCGCCGGTGTACTGCTGCTGCTGCTGAGTCGCCGGCTGAGTAGCGGTGCTCAAGGCCTCGTTGAAGACTCGCTGCTCATCAGCGTCGGGCCCTGCAGAAGGGGAACAGAACGGGCGGCCCGACCCCAGCTTGCCCCTTGGTCGAGTTGGTGCAGCTGCTCTCAATATGATCCGCCCGACAAGCGCCCCGAGTCTTGCCCCCGGGCCTGAGGAAAACCTGGTCCCCACATATGTCCCTCTCGCGAATGAACGCCATGAAGTCGTTGTAGTGGAACAAGAAGTCCTGGCGAAGTTTATGGCAGTCCGGGGTGTTGTGGGAGGAGTTCGCTCCGTGAACCTGACAGAAGAAGGCACTTCTCTGCTCATGAGATGGCCCGCCATCCGCTCCCGCAGGAGCTGCTCTCCTCATGCCGCCGCCCCGGCCCACACCGGCAGCGACGGGCGCATGCCTCGTGTCCTCGATCCCCTCTCCAGACCTCCGTTTGATCCTCTGCTCGTGCTCAGCCAGCCTCAGCGTCTCTTCCAGAGTACCTCTCGAAAGCATGGGGTGGAACAGAACACGGTCTTTGACATCGTCGTACATTGGAAGCAAGCCACGCGCAATGTGTCTCGACATTAACGTCTCCTCTCGATTGTCCCCACAAAACTGTAATTGCATCCACACAGTATTCGCCCTTCCCCAGTAGTCGACCCGAGTCTCTACATCCTTCTGCCTCAGGCAGTTCCAAGTGTCGTCCAGGATTTCTCTCTCATGCGTCCTATTAGTAGTAGGACTGAAACACTCTCCACCCTGCTTGTGGACTCTCTGAACCTAGTATCTGGTCTAGTATGGGTTGAACGTTGATTTTCGTGATCAAGCATATCCAGACTGTCGTGGCCTTTCGAACACTTTCATCGCCAAACGTCTGCCGCAACCAAGTCTTATCGATGTGCAACGAACCCACAGGAATGTTTTCTCCTCTCATGATCTCTTCAAGACCCTCTGCACCCATCCACCCTGAGAAACAACTCGTGAAAATTCGGAACGTGACAGTAACACTTCGATCCTTCGAAAAAGCATCATTCCACTCAGGTACTTCGACTCTCGCTCTCTCAGCTTCAACTCTTTGGGCTGGGAAGTAGACGTGCCTGAGCGGACATCATGTCCCGGAGTCTGGGAGGTGGAGGTGACAACCCGGCGGAGGAGGTCGACGAGGGCGATAGTAGGAACTTGTTCCTCGCCATCCGCGGCTACTCTCGGTCCTCCCTGGTTCACATCGGGGAGGTTCAGCGAATCTCGTCCTTTCCCCCCGCTGTCTTCCTCGTGGGGAGAGGAACTAGTCCCTGATCCCCCCGGAGGTCTTCGTCCATCTCCTCCAGCCGTCTTATTCGCGCAGACACAGCAGCCACTCTCTTGATCTATCACGCTAGCGTGTTGGAGAGCTTGGTGCGCCCGGCGTAGTTGTAGACGGCAAAAATGAAAGAACCGCACGGCGAGTTTACCGGCAACGATAACATGCAGTAAACTGCCCGCGAGTGTGGTACCCCGCCGCATCTGTGATGTTCCGGAGCGTAATGGCTCTGATGTGTTGACGCTGGTGTTGTGATAGCTGTTGTGATGGCGTGATAGCCTAGAGGCGTGATAGCCTGGCCGCGTGATAGCTGATGGATATGTGGTATGGACACGGGCGTGATAGCCCAGTGCGTGATAGCCGGGCAAAGTAAAATCAATTATCCAAGGGCACGTGGCCAACACCGTTGCAGACACGTATACCCAGAAAACAACACTATGTGGCGAAAATGATACCACCATTCCCCCAATTTATCACAACTGCGGAACCCCCAAAAATTTCCCGCTCCATCTTCTCAGAACGTTCCTCGGTCGCACTAATCTGTCAATGCTGTGAGTACATCCAACATACTGAACGCACCAGGAAGCGGGCCATGTCGAAGTCGTGGCTGGTCATGTCCATGAAGATGCCGCCACTGTTCTGCAGGTAGGCCACCGGGGGCGGCGCGGGGTCGCGGCTAGTGANACTATGTGGCGAAAATGATACCACCATTCCCCCAATTTATCACAACTGCGGAACCCCCAAAAATTTCCCGCTCCATCTTCTCAGAACGTTCCTCGGTCGCACTAATCTGTCAATGCTGTGAGTACATCCAACATACTGAACGCACCAGGAAGCGGGCCATGTCGAAGTCGTGGCTGGTCATGTCCATGAAGATGCCGCCACTGTTCTGCAGGTAGGCCACCGGGGGCGGCGCGGGGTCGCGGCTAGTGATGTGGATGGTGCGCACGTCTCCGATGATGCCCTCGCTGATCTGACAACAGAAAAAAAAAAGCAGCAGCGGAGGCGGAGGGCTCATGACTTGACCACACGTGCGCGACGATAGCGCCAGAAGCACTCCAACGGCAACAGCGACAACAACAACGTTGACAGCCAGCAACATTTCTTGGAGAGTGATACACACCGTGTAATGCGCCGGTCGCCCCGGTGGTGTAGATGGTATCCTCGAAACCTTGTAGAGGTCAGATCAGGGGTTCGAATCCCGGCGTAAGCGAGCTTTTCATGCAAAGTAAGTTTTTCTCTCGCTTCCGCTCCTGGCCTACTAATAGTAGATAGCGCTATTTCGTGTGTACACAGAAGGAAGAGAGTGCTGAACTCTTCTCGCATTAAGAATCGAAGGCAATGTACAGCAGGAGGGGAGGGTAGAGAGGGGCTCTTCTGTATGATCACGGGTTAGACAAAACGGCACTAGTGCTGTGAGCGCTGATTTGACGTGAAGTCAAAGAAAAAAAAACAAGAGCATTCCATACAACCTTCTCGCGGATGGTACGGAAGTTGGAGTCGAACCGCCTCTGGAAGCCGAGGAGCAGCTTCACGTCGTTGTCCGCTACGGCCTTAAGGGCCACGTCGATCGTCGGCACGTCGAAAGAGATCGGCTGCAGGATCAAGACAAAAAGCGGGAACAGCATCACACGTCGGCGTCATGGCGAGGAAGGGCTAACGTGACGCAACAAATTTGCATGATGACCGACGGTATGACTCCGACATGGTGGGCAAGAATTATTCTAGGTGACGGGGTCATTCGGCCAATGTGGACCACAGAATAACGTCAGGAAAGGTCAGATCAGCCAGACTGTTGAAAGAAGACCGACATACCATTGTGTATCCCGTAAAAGGCACAAACAACGAAGTTGAAACGAGATAGGCAAAAGAAAAAAGAAATGGCAAGCTGCGAGAAAGTCACGGCTAAAGTCAGCTGCTATGCATACATAAGTCAATGCAATGCTATCGAGATAGAAATCATTCTGACAAAATGGTTCGAACGGGGTTGACGCTGTTTACAGGACCATTTTTCATTTTTGCAACCCTCGATAATATTAATCCATGGCAGACGGGAGGTCGCTGTCTGACCTTCTCGCAGAAGATGTGCTTGCCGAGCTTGGCCGCCTCGATGATCTGCTCGGCATGGAACGGTGTTGGCGATCCCACCACGATGGCCCCCACCTCGGGGTCGTGCACCATCTCCTTCCAGTCCTATCACGCATTCATACATTCATACGAGTATATTAACATTTTACTGACCAAACACACACTGCCGGTCGCCCCGGTGGTCCAATGGGTGGCCTCGCAGACTTCTAAGGGCCAGGTCATGGGTTCGAGTCCCGACAGAGTGAGTTTTTTCTCGCTTATTAAATCCTGGTGTCCGTTGGAAGCGACGCACTGCAAAGCTCGTTGTTAGTAAACCTGATCGACTTCATAAGTCGCGAGGGAAGGGATTGCTGTACCCTTCTCGCGATAAAAATATCTCAGGCAAGAACCGCATTAGGGGTCCAACCCCCCCCTCCATGTGACCCCGGTAGGGTCGTCTAGCTGGTTGAAGTGGAGGAAAGGGGCCAGAGGGGCAGACGACAGAGTCCAATGATGGGAGAAGAAAAAAAAAAACATGGGGCGTGCACCATTTTCTTTCAGTCCTATCATACATTCACACGAGTATACTCATGTACCAAGCAAATACACGCACGAGCAGCGGTGTGTGTGTAACTTGATGTGTATTGTTGAAATAGCATCGACCGCGCTAGTCGGTTGACCAATGAAAAGACGTCAGTCTTAGAAAAACAATATAAACAGCATGAAGTACTCCAACACAACTGCTGGGGCTGTCTGTGTGTGTGACGATGAAACAAAATCGGAGGGGAGGACAAAACGCCACATTGTGTAACGAAGGCTGCACCAAACGATATCCACCCGCATTCTGCAAACGATCAACGACGTGAATATATATAATACCCTAAGCGACAACCAAGGGTGGCCATACAGTTTGCACGCACAAACACCTCATGAATGAGCCTGGGATGGGCCTCTACGCAGCACACGCACGGACCGTTCCAAGTCGCTCTCATTCTCCTCGTACTGGTGCTCGCACACCACAGGCCCTACCTTGTAGAACTTGGGTAGGCCGTTGCACCCCTCGACGACACGAGCGCCAGCCTCCTCGAAAATGTCCGACACTGCCACCAGCTTAGCGCCGGGGGTTCGGAAGGCCAGGGTCTTGGCATGGATCTGGTTTTTCGTGCGCGCCATTCGTGCAACGTGTGACGTCATGTCAGAATTGTTCGGCAGGGGACTAGACTCAGGGATATCGCTCTTGCTCTTATTTGCATGATGTCATCCAGGAATTTGTTGCGTTTAGGTCGACGGGAGGGGGGCGTATTTGAGAACGCCCTCTTTGTTCCTCTTTGTGAGACCAAGCGTCCAACTGAATCAGAGTCACATAAAAACAATATACTTCCGCTGTATCATAAGTCTCGTCTGTTATGTGCGTGTAGTAGTAAAGATACTTACACGTTGACGTTTAGCCTTTGGCTGGGTGCGTTAGAAAGGCAAGACATATGCAAAGCTGACTAAAAAAAAAAAAAGCGAAGACCGTGTTATGCACTAAAGCTAGGTCAAAATATGCCCATTTTGGCCTGTTTTGATTTTTTTTTGAGAACGTTTTTGATATTTTTTTTTAGAATTGTTTTAGAATTCGTGAGATCAGTCGTGATTACCACCCCCCACACACTATGCAGACGATGGATACGCCCCCAAGTACCCCCCCACATCGCCCCAAGGGCGGCGAGCTTTCAGCGGGCCGCCGCATTGCAATTGTAGTGGAGGCTGCGCTGGCTATTCCGCCGGGCCAAGTACGGATACCCAAGGGTACGCTGGGCCCACCGACACCAACAGACACTTTTTCTGCCCGCAAGTGTCTTGGTTTTAGTGTGGCCCCCCAAGTGTATTGGTTTTAGTGTGGAACCCCCAAGTGTCTTAGTTTTAGTGTGGGGCCACTATAATACTGCTTTGAGCATAGGGGGGCGCGATGTGGGTCGCTAAGTAGAGGGGGGGGGGATTCGGGCCCTATTCTGTTGTTTTTTTGCCCCGCAAGTGTCTTGGTTTTCGTGTGGGATCCCCAAGTGTCTTGGTTTTTAGTGTGCACCCCAAAATATCTTGTATTTAGTGTGTGGGTCACTATCAATATGGTTTTAGTATGGGGGACGTATTGTGGATGGCTGAGTCTAGGCGGGGTTAGCTTTAGGGTTGGGGATCGTTCTTGGTTTTTTGGGGGGCGGTTAGGCTCAATTCCCCACGTACCCCACCCTCCGGAAAAGGGCAAAATATGGCCGTTTTTGGGCCGACTCAAAGTTTTCCGGCCGTTTAGTCGCATGGTTCAAGCACCAGCTTTAAAAAAAAAAGTGTTTTCTTGCTCAAAAAACGCCGTAGAATTCAACAATAAAAATGAAAAACAGATCGGACACCGTTAAGGCGGCGTATAAACCTAACAGACCAGACCCATGATACAGAGGAAGTATACAATAGCCCTTTTCGACCCCGCGATAGAAATATTCATGGGGAGACGTACACAAGAACCAAACAAATGGAAAGGGAAGCAGAGCGGGGACTACTCGGGGACAGGACTTTTCTCCCTGTTCCCGCCTGGGTGAGTTCCAAACAACTGCTGTGTACGTTTAGCCTTGGGTGTTGAGAACGTGAACTGGCGTTCCAGCACGTTGGGGCCGCCTTGTTGCTGCCTGTCGGGACAGAAGGGGGTGAAGCTGTACCAGAGTGTACGCAGGAAACGTTTACAGCTCACAGTAGCTTGTTGTCTTGGTCACTGCTGTGCTGTGCGGACGTGAGATACCTGGGCTTTGTTTGGATTGGGAACGCCACATGGACAAACAGGTGGCGTCAAAAAGGCACATGTGCGGTGTGGCGGCATGTGGTATCATTTCACAGACGTCGTTATTGGCGGCGTGGGGCTCTCGCGCCACTGCGTGCGACATCACATCAGCACGTTAGAAAAGCACAAAGGTCTCTAGCATCGGGTGCAAACGTGCTGCTGATGGTGAACCGAAGCCCGAACCAAGACATTTCGACATTTCCACGATATGTATATATCCTCTGCCCAAAAAGTACAGGGTTACAAACAAAAAGACAGCATCAAGCATCACCAGCATTTCATCGGCTTCCTGCTGGTGGTTAGAATCCCGACCAACAGTTTGGTACAGTCGAGGGACCCTTTTAGTGCCGGTACGTGCACAGAGCGTTCACCGGCACTAAATCGGGCACCCGGCACTATTGCGAATAGTGCCAAAACGGCACTATTGAGGGCTGGCCAATCCCTCATTAGTGCCGGTACCGGCACTAATGAGGTTGTGTTCGATTTATGGTGTAGCGCCCACGCTTACGGGGCCAACAAAGAACGAAATGGATCGACACTATTACTGTACTGTTGAGTGAAGTTCCAGCATGGGCGTGGGCAGAGTTGAGTTTTCTTTTTGTTGTCTTGGGGCGCTCTTTGGTTCTTCATTTTCTTCTGCACCTCACTTATTTGCTTATTTGTGTACTGTCGTCGGGACAAATTCTCTCCTGTTTGCCTGGCGCACCCGCTTCGATGTTGCAAGAAAAAAAAAATGACATGCACGACGGGCAGCGCACCGCAAAAATCAAACAACCGTTTTTTTAGTGCCACAGCTGTTCCCCGCCCTTACTCCGTAGCAACAAACTCCCTCATGTCTGCCTGGCGCACCCGCCTCTTGGAATGCGCTGCAATCATCGCCATCTTCGCTTTCGCTAGGTAGAGCGCCGCGTCTCCATTGCCGCTCTCCTCTGCTGCCGCTTCCAGGACGCCGAAGTGAGACGACAGTTCACCATAAGCCGGTGGGACACGGCGCGCGAGCCCCGTGTTGTCATCGCCGCTGTCCTCCTCCTCGTCCTCCTCCTCGCGGCCGGTAGACACTCGAGTCCCAGCCAGCTGTGCCGTCATGTCTTCCACCGTATCCTCTCTGAGAGCCTCAACCACTTCATCGTCGTCCTCGATGGTAGCCCACCCTTGAATCGCGTTCACCGCTTCCTCCAGGAGCGGCTTTCCGGGTTCGATGCGGAGTTCGGCGATGAGTTCGGCGATGTCCTCGTCCTCGATTTGGGTACCCTGCTTGTGCGCCTCGTGCACGCTCGTGCTCAACGTGTTGAGAGTCTCCGTGAGAGCCTTCAAGGTAGGCTCGGCGACGTGGAACTGGGACTTTCCGTATTGCTTGGTGAGCTCAGCGGCCATCTCGTCCGGAAGAGTCTCGGCTTTGACAAAGCACCTGATCCCAGGTAGCGCAGAAAATGTCATGCATACGTTTGTGGGTGGACAACAAGCGGATGTTAGATGAACCCAGGGACGATCAAAGACTCATAGGCGGGGGAGGACTCAAGTTTTTGCGAAAAGCAAAGAAGATATGTATTCGGATGTTGGAAAACTCAGTCGAAAACAATATAATCTATCCGTACAACCTTACCCACGTTACCTTTGTACCACCAAAGCTATGTGCACCAAGGCGCGAGTTGAACAGTTTACATTATAAACAGCGATTGCACATGCTCAAACCTCACCTGGCGATGTCCTGGGCGGTGACGCTGGCCCATGCTTTCTGGAGAAGTTCAGCGGCATCCCGCACGTGAGGTTGGTGCCCTTGCGCCAGCCCCATTGTCCCGGCCTTCATTTTGCGAGCTTTGGCCTCGGCACGAAGGGTGTCAGCCACCAACATGGTCGATGTCTTCACATCGAGCAGCTCCTTCCTGTAGTTGCACTTTGTCTCGGCGATGATCCCCAGATCCATAGGCTGGTGTACGGAGGTGCAGTTTGGAGGGTAGAACTTGATGGTAACTTGCCCCCGATCATCCACTAGATCACCGTGAGAAGCACAGCCGTCCATCAGAAGCAGCACAGGTTCGTGAGTGAAGCGCCGAACGAACGGGAGGAAGACCTCACACCACCACTTGCGGAAAGTCGCGGTGTCGGACCAGGCGTTGGCCTGCGAGAAGTACTTGAGAGGTGAAGGCGTGTCGTTGAAGCAGCGGGGACCCTTTGCCTTCCCGATGATGGACATGTCAACCTTTGCAGTGCCGTCGGCATTGGCGCACATGATGGCAGACAGTCGATCCTTGAAGAACATGCCCTTGGAGCCCCGCGCCGTCTTCCGATCCTCCAAGTTGGAGAGGTACGTGCGCCTGGGCATGAGCTTCCACTGGAGGCCTGTCTCGTCGACGTTAAAGATGAGCCTAGCCGGGTACTTTGCGCAAAGGGCCTTGAGTTCCTCCATGGCTTCCTTGATGGCCTCCTTGTTGACGCTACCAGCCTCGCCATGAAGTCTCACGCTGTCGATGCTGTTGCGCTTCACGAAGTTCCTGGCCCACCTTTCGCCGGCCTTGAAATCCTCGACCCTCGCCTTCACTTCCTTAGAAGCTGCTGGATCAGCCAGCAGGGTTGCCCTGGCGGCACGGCCGAAGCTTCGAAGGACGTCGCGCGTGACGGGCATCTTGGTCTTCCGGGCTTTCTCTAGTAGGTCAAGAGCTATGGCGTCCACCTATTGACCGTCAAACGAGGAGTAAACAATAAAGAGGGTACAAAAGATAGCACGATTAGTTTCGAACATTAAGCCTCGTTGCACAGTGCATCGTAGTGGGAAGGAAACATTTCCGGGCATTTGAAAAACCACAGAAGCTCGCCGCTGCATCCGCATGTGTATTTATGTATTGTAACTCGTTTGAAAGAATAGGTGTGCGTGCGATGTAATGTACCAGTACAGTACAAACAAGTACACATTTTTGGTTCGCAGTTTATATGCTGGCGCAGCAGCGCACGAACGATAAAACAACAAAGAAAGTTGAAAAAAAAGGTAACACAAAAAAAGACACAAACGAACGACGAGAGGGAATAAGCTCAACAAGTACTGTAACAGTCGAGAAATAGAAGAAACATGGGGAAAGGGAACAGAGAACAGGGAACAACTTGACAAGAGAAGAAGAAAAAAGAACAAGAACATCAGATAGACGAACAAGGCTACAGAAAAAGGTCCTTGCAAAAACGAAAACTCTTTGCAAACAAGGCCCGGCAAAAAAAAAAAGGCAAAGAAGGCGCGGGAACTACGCGTATTTTTTTAAAACAACAGCAGAGTAGCGCACCTCCGGATTATTGCCTGTGCGCACGTTTTTCTTGCTTCCTCCGCGTCCTGCAGCAGCCTCGGTCTCGTACTTCT